CAAAGAGAAACATACAAACCAAAATCATTCGTTCAATGGGGATGCAACTATCACCCCTCTCTATTGGGAGAATGGCCAAGTTTTTAATAGCTTCCTGAATAGCATCAGGATGGAAACAATCCAGGTCTCTGGGAGGATATTACTTACTTAATTACTTATTATTAAATGTATACAGTGCCCATCTCACTGTCTGGAGTTACTCTGGGTGGCTTAAAATAGAATAAAAACATAGGTATAAAACGTTATAAATGTTGAAATTAAAATTAGCAACAATTAAATAAAAAGTTAAAACCAAGAGGACAAACGGTATGGGGTGATTTTCATGTCTCAATCAACCATCTCCATCATAGTGCACTTTCAGAGGCCCCAAGCCAGCCCAAAGGCCGGAAGGATGAAATCAAATCTCATTTCAAGAAACAAATGTTCCTTATTTATAAATATCATCATCCTTTTTTTATATTTTGTTTTGATGTTACCCTCTACCCTATCTGCTGTTGTTTAGTGAAGTTTAAATTTTAGCCAGACTAATACTGTTGTCACATACTGATATGGATTACACATAAATTTATTATAATTAAACATTTCCAGCAATCAAGCTGTCCTGCAGTTTTGTCTAAGTCTAGGACATCATCTTCCATAGAGTTTTGTAACGTGTTTTCCCAAAATCCCTTGACCAGTTCTCAGGGAAAATAAAAGACACTAAAATCAAAAGTTTCCTGTTGTTTACATGAAAAAAAGTTAGATTGATGTCACTGTTAACAAATTTAGATTTGAAATTTACCTCAGTGAAAAATACATGAGGCAGTTTAACATAGCTAATTTGTATAATATATTTTGCTTTACTTTAATCTATTTTGTATTTTTATGCCATTAATGTAAACATGCATTACTTTAGAAAAGAGGATTTTTGCTACCCGGAGTGAATGAGACAAGTTTCTTGAAATGATATGTCTAGTCTGGCTTATCACTTTACATTCCAATATGCACATCCTAATAGGGAGTCATATTTGGCATGCCAGTAAATTCTGAGGGTTTTTTTCCTTAACATGTTTTTATCTATGGCAGTAAATTTAATGTGTTAAGTTTGTGATCTGTGCACAAAGAATTAGTAGAAGTTCTTTACTGGAAAACTGAGCTGTTCTTTTAACTGTGTGGTTGTGATAGAAATTGTACATATGTCTGCATCTAGATTTGTCTTTGAAGATTTTCAGAAAAGAGAACACATTTCTAAGCTATCATAGTATACATTTATTTTTAAACAGCTAAACCAAAAGCCAAGCTTTTATCTGTTTTCAGTAACCTAGATTTGTCAAAAAGGCTTGAGGGAAATGTTTAAAAACTGATACACATACTGTACATATCTCTTATTTTTTTTCCATAAAATAAAAATGCAATCTAGGACTCAATATATTGCTCAGGCAATAGAACTGTGCCTACCCTTTATCCCATCTTCACCTTTCACAAATGTAGAATAGATTTTACATATTCTCGTCTCTCTGAAAATAATTAGAATTTATTTGTAGGGGAATCTATTCTGTAGTTGGCCGGATAACAGGCACCATTCATGCAAATTCCAAAACATATTTTGCAAACATCTTGACTCCTGGTTTCTCTGAAACACTGAAGCATTGCCCTTCAAACTTCAGCATGAAGAATAGTATTTTTTTTCATAAAACACTACATTCTGCCATCCCCACAAATTTTGTATTATTCTAGGAGATAAGAAAAGGTCAATCATCCTTCTAAAACATATTGATCAAAATAACTTATTCTTATAAGCAGCTTAGAATAAAACATGCTCTGCACTGAAAGGTAAAGTTTTTGAAGGTAGAGATTTTAATTCAAGAGCAAGTATAATTAAAAAAATATGCCTGCATCCTATTCATCACTATTTAACAGTATATTTGTTCTTCAATAAGCTACGATTGGGCTGGGGTTAAAGCATATTGTAGGTCAAGGCTGAAGCAGAGCTTGTGTGAAACAGTTTGACAGCATTTGCCCCTATAGCAGCTAATCCCTATTACTAGTCCCGTCATCCGCATGACTTCACTAACAGTATTTTTAAAAACCATTTATCTATTCCAGACACATGTATTTTCACAGCCTAAAATACTAAAAGCTTGGTGTAGATATACAAACAATGAAAGAGGGTTTTTTCCCTCCCCCTAAAAGGCTAAGGGGTCACTGAGGGAACATATTAGTATGTTTTCTACTTAGTTAAACTTATAGCACTCTGAAAGCGTTCAGAGAAAGGACATCACTGTCACAAAGGATTCAAGGTTTTGTGATGTGAACAATAATGCCACTAGGGGAATAGTGGCATTTGCTACTGTTAATGGCTTATGCCTGCATGGCGACTGAGCATAATACGGTATTTATATAGCTGCAAAATTCCTTATCTTTATTTTTAGCTTTCTACTGTGTATAACATCGGACAATATAAGCTTTGTATCTATAGTCTTTCAGAATATACTGAGAAGTAGAAGTTAAACTTTTGAAGCCATTTGCTAAAATTTTCTTATTAAGCACAAAAAGCAGCGAGAAGTAAAGATAGACAACCTAATGAGGAAGGTCGGTAGGAGAAGGAGACATGGATCAGCACAAATAAATATCTATAATACAAAAAGCAGGTCCCATGTATTTATGTCACTTACACAGTAACAGTGTTTTTTTCATGTGATGCTTTATCATTTGAGATAGATTAGATAGATAGATAGATAGATAGATAGATAGATAGATAGATAGATAGATAGATAGATAGATAGATGATAGATGATAGATAGATAGATAGATAGATAGATAGATAGATAGATAGATAGATAGATAGATAGATAGATGTCTGAAATTAACCAAGAAGGAATATGTATCTTCTCTTGCCTCTTCCACACTCTAAAAACATAGCATATTGAAATCTGCCACTATTTTGTACATGGAAAATGGGAGAAATTTTTTAATTATTCATTTCAGAATGTGAGATTGTACACTGTCCTCCCTTCCCACAAGTTCTGAGTATAAGCTAAATGAATTCAACTGAAAACAAGTATACACACACACATACACACACACACACATATATATGTAGGTCTTTGGTTATTCGGGTTTTTTCCCGCATAAAATTGGAAGTGTCTTGGCGACGTTTCGACGAAGTCCCATTCGTCATCTTCAGGCTGGTGTTTTCAGCTTCGTGCTTCTAGGAGTAATGTGTGATCGCAGCTGTTTCTTCCTTTTAACTGCCAGTGGGGTTTGAACTGTTTGAACCTCAGAAAACAAATATATATATTTGTTTTTGTATATATACAACCCTTTCTATTGCCACCAATGAGCAAAATGTTTTTACCACTGCTACCGTAGAATAATAATGTACTTGGAAGTGAGTTTGATGCACCTCACAGTTTTCTTCTTCATTACTTTCCTTAACAATTTGTTTGCTCATTAATGCCTATGTAATATTCTATAAAGGCCTAGTTGAAAACTGTTCTGCTAATATTAAGATACAAGAGGGTTTTTTTTAATGCAAAAGACCATAAGAATCTCGAAATAGTTTAATCCTTTGCCATCACTTCGTCAGATGAATTCATGCAAAAATACTTTTCTATCTTATGTGATAACAGTGGAGTCATTGCTGCAGCATTTGGTTCTTCTGTGCTTGCACAGAGACAAATTGAATCTGACAGGAATGATGTCTCATGGACTTTGCTGTCAGTTGAAAGGCTAGCACAAAGTGGGTAGCAGAGAAAACAGAAAGCCGGTACTTTTAGGACATTGCTTATGCCTCTTAAATTCGCTTTTTGATAGTAACAATCAAATCAGCAATATACTTTGAACAAGTTTTATGGTAGATGTTTGTAACATCTGCTTCTCTTGTTCTTTCCTAAAATAGATTTTTCAAAATATTTTTCTGTACTGTAAAACAGTTTTTTTATGCTTATGAATATGCATAGGTGTGTTGTTATCATTATTATTGTTCATTCCTTTTATACTTTTTGGCATGCTGTGAATACATTTTTGTGTTATTATAATGTTTTTCCCATTTATATTGTGCTCATTTCAAAGCTGCCAAGCAGTGTCTCTTACTACTTTTAGAAGCTATAATTGTGGAACAATTAGTGCAAGAATTCTGCTTTGAGATAGAGCTAAAATTTTGACCAAGGGGGTATACATTTCCATGTTTATTACTAATATAGTTAAAGGAGAGCAAAATTTATTTCTTCTTAATAGCAGATGTTCACTCTGTATTATTCATTAGTTCATATATGAGATATAAACTAACCCAGAATATGTGATATTTATTTATAATTTAATTATGAATTACATAATTTACATATACTACTAAACCAAAAAAGAAAGTTTGCTTTAGTATATAGAAGAATTATAAGATGCTACAATCAGAGACACAGTTGTTAAAGTAATTCACAAATACTAATGTTCTACTGTTGCGGATGGCACTTTAGGAGCAGAAACAGATTTTCCCTTTCATTATCACCCTCTGATACATTGTTTTTTTTACCAGACTTTTGTCCTGGAAGTTGATTCCTTCTAAATGTTACTTTGAAGGATTGATATGCTTTATTCAGAAATAACTCAGTCTCATGTTGCTAAGAAAAGAAAGTATTTTGTAGCTCACAGGAATCATTTATCCCAGTATAGTTTATAGGATGCCTTGGAAAATGATTATTTTTGTTTTGGCTTTTTTATAAATGCTGTTAAAATGAATAGTTTTTAAATTATTTTGCAAGGCTAATCTCGATCTCCAGAGTCTTCACTTTACCTTTATTGTTAAAATTATGTTTTGGGGGTGTATTTGGAGGGGGAAAAGCAAAGCATTCTGAACGTTTGTCTTTCTCTCTTTCTCTCTCTCTCTGTCTCTCTCTTTCTTTCTCTCTCTCTCTCTTTTTTGTTTTATTTCTTGCTCCTCTCAGGCTTTGAAAGTTCTTCATCTGGAATTTCAGGTTGGAGATTCTCACAGTGGCTTCTAAGCCAGTGACCAAAGCTGTCAAAGCATGCTGGTGCCAAGCTGTCAGATGATGCATATAGCCAGGCCAATAGTAGTGCTCCTGTGCTTCCTACTTTGTGCAGATGCTGAAAGTAAGACTTCTTTCTCTCTTTTTTGTAACCCTATTGAATAAACCCAGAACAAAACCCCAAAGTCCTAGGCTGGTCATAATGAACAGTTTTGTTATATTTTATTTATAATTTTATGCAGCATTAAAGAAAGTATATAACCAGACATTTAAAAAAATGGAAGGATAAAAAATAAATCACGTGTAAGTAAACATTTTCAAATATCAACAATGTTATAGTTTTCTAGTTCACTATGAACTTGTTGTAAATTATTGAATACATTATATTGCACTATTAAGCTCTAAGCTAAGAATAAATATCAAAGTCCATGTTCAATACAGTATAAATTACTGAGTAAAACTGTAAACAATTAAAAATTCCATCCATAATACTAAGAATCTATTTACATACCTTGTAAAATTGAAATATTGTTTCTGTCTATATATATAATACAAAATCCTGTTTTGGATATGCAATACATTTGTGAATTAAGTTATAGCCTATAAATGCTTTCCAGTTTGAGTTGAATCCTATGTAGTATTTATTATGAGCAAAGATTCTAGACATCAAAACATCCTCAGACAACTTGGTTAGCCATTGTTCCAGACAGGAGATCAAATGACATTTCAAGTAAAAAAGTATTTTAATCCTTGCAGCAGTTACAGTACATAACATTAATTAAATTTACTGTGAAGGAACAGTTTCTTGGCATATTCAGAAGGTTTCTGATAAAGCTCTTTGGAGTCCATCTTGAGGCACTGTAGGATTCTCCTCGTCTCTCAGCCAGGGTTTGAAAGGGTTATCTACAGACTTCCTTATTTATTTGTTTTGCTCTTATGCACTTGGGAATGCCCACTATTCTTTATTTGTGGGAATAAAGGGAGTCAAGTGTAGCAAAATTGTGTAGTCAGAATAAAACCTTACCGTACTTACCAGAAGACAAACATCACTTAGTTTTATTAGGCATTTTTCAATTCCTTGGATATTTTCTTTTTGAGTTTTGGAAAACAAGCAGTGTAATGTTGAGGCCAATTAAAATTCCAGGTCCTTTGTGTCTGTCACAGCAGCTGTTCCAGTGTATTATTTCTAACAGCTGTTGTGAAATATACTATTTGAACAAATCAAGCAGAACTGACAAATCTGAGGCTGGGTTGTGGAGTGTGAAGACTTCTGTGTAATGTAGCACCTAGGTTCTAAGTCTAGGACTACTATAGAGTTTTGGGCAATTAGCTTGCCAATTAATTAGAAGATGAGATCTCATTTTTAATGAGAAATTCATTAGATTTGCCTTGTTTACACATGATCTTCTCCAAGCTATACTCTTGCTTTTTCAATGAAAAATGGAAATATGTAAGGTGGGGTAGGAAGCTGCTTGACGGAGTTTGTTGACACACTGGGAGACAGGTTTGCTTATGTTAACAACAGGGCCACTTGATCAAGCAGTATTTTCCTGTATCTTTCTTGAAGTGGCTACTATATTAATACATGCTCTTTTTACTAGGACTTTATCATATTAAGTGGGAGCTTGTGAATCATTTAAATTCTCTATAGTAAAATAATATTTTGTGAATAAAATTATTAACAGAAATCTAGCATCCTGATTGTAATTTTTCCCAGGAATTTTGATTTTGGAATAACTCCAAATATAAGGTCTCATGGAAATCACTTAAAACTGAAGATTCAGTTTTTTTACAAGTACAGTAGTGATCAGTACACATTAAAATTGGTGTTCACTGTTCAGAATAGGTTATTGTTGACCTGATATCTCTAAAAATTAGGAACTATTGTGTGCTATTACTTCATTAAATTAATTTTAATGTATGAATGTGTGGAGACTTAAATTATGGCCACTCTGCTAAGATTGTCATTTTTACTTATTGCTAATAATTTCCTGTAAGTCAGTTATTATAACGCAGTTTGAAGCTAGCTTTTAAAGTATCCCTTCAAATAATGAAACCTATGTGATAGACTGTAATTTAATTTTGTATTTAACTATATAGTATTGTGTATAAACAAAAAAGTGTTTGAAATAACTTTGTTTTTTTGGGGAAGCTCTTTCCCTAGTATAACAATGGGAAAGTGAATTAAATTTCTAAAAGAGCAAACTCTGAAATTGTATATGTGTATGGATCAGTGACAGTAAAAAAGTTGGGCATGTTCCAGATAGTTAATGACCAGCTGGAATGCTTACACGTAAGGTGAAACCAAAGACATTTTTAACACTTCTACCAGTATATAATTATCTCTGATATAGCACATTTATGCAATTATACATTTTAAAAGTGGAGACAAAAAGGTAAAATTTATTCTTAAAGGACTATTTTTAAAACTTTTTACTTTTCAAATTGTAAATGAGAATGCCATGGACTCATTGGATAAAACTTTGTAAAAATGAGAGTGAATTAATCCTGTTTCTTTTACGGAGAGTTAAACTTTGCTTATCAAATTATGTAGATTTTTTTTCCTTTCCTTTTTATCAGAACTTTGAATATAGAGAACATATTGTGTTGAGAACCACAATCAGACTTAAACAGGAAATATTATAATGAAGTACTTTAGGACTTTTATTTTCTTTGCAAGTTATTTTCAAAGTTTTGTTACATTTTACTAAAACAATAATAATAACAACAAATGGCTATTACCTATTCTGAGTTCTAACTGGCTTTTTTATTTTGGCAACATATTTTTAGGAGAATTATAGACTAGTTGATAAAACTAGCCAATTTAAGACTATTAGGTAGTTCTGGGTGGATAGTTTTTCATTAAATATTTCTTTGTGAAATATTTCATTTTTATTTGCTTCATTGGTGGTCATAGGAACAAAAACAACTATATCAGGCCAAATAACATCTTAGTCCAGATTTTTATTTGTCACAGAGGCCAAGTAGATATGGTGATGTGATTACACATCCTCCTACACCTAGTATTTGGAGCCAAACTCGCCTCTGCTTGGAGATAATATTAGGTCTTCAATATTGACAGGTCCATTATGAATTTTTCTAATCCTGTTTTAAAACCATCCAAGTCATTGGTTATAATGATTTCTGAGGTAATTAATTATTATATTAATTCATATAAATAAATGGCCTGTATAAAGGAGTATTTTCCCCTTCTATTTTACATAGCCTGCCTTCCTTGAAAGACTCCAAAATCTGTTTTGTTTGTTTGTTTGTTTGTTTGTTTTGAGAAAGGAAAAGAAGTTCTTCTTTGCTTTATTCATATTTGCCTGACTTTATATATATCAGTCATGTCGTTCCTCAGTTATCTTGTTTCTAAATTAAAGAGTCCCAAACACATTAGCCTTTTCTTGTAGGTGTCCAAGCCCACAAAATCCTCTGGTTAGTCCTATTATGTAATCGTTCCAACTCTATTATATCTGTCTATAACCATTCACCTCACTGCATTATGGACCACTATAGTTTCCTGGTGGTTTTCAAAGGCAGACCCCTGTAAAGCATATTGTGCTATAATAGGTTACTAGGACATGATTGAACATATTTACGGTCTCTCATCCAGAAATGGTTGTGAATGGAACACAAGATGGATTTGTGCAAAAATCTTCCTGTCCTTAATATAAGGTCTTCCAGCAAGAGTTGAGGGACCAAGAGGCGCCTAAGTCATCAGTGCTATCTAGGGAAGTGTGGTCCTGTGTAGAACCAAAATTGGAAAGTCCCCAGAACCAGAGGCCCTAAAACTGAATGGCTATTTAATCTTACGAGGATTGAGTCAAAGTTTATGTTTCCTCATCCAGAACTTCATAGACACTTGGAGTCACCCCAAGTCAGCTACTCCACAGCATGGAATTAGCCAATATGTCACCTCATCCAGATACTCAATAGCCTTCAGACACTGGGAAAAAATCCACCTGCTGTAGGGTGGCGATGTTTGGGAGTCATCAGCCTTTTGATGGTACCTGATCCCATAATCAATATATGATGTCAGTGGTTTCATATAGATGTTAAATAAGATCAGAGAGAAAATAGTTCCCTGGAGAACCATACAATACAAAGGCCCTGGCCTAGATTTCACCTTTTCTACTATCATTGACTGAAATTGTCATAAATGAAAGAGAAGAACCAATGTAACACCATAACCACCTTCTCTTAAATTTCAGACTAATTCAGAAAGTTACCATGAACATAGTATAAAAACTCATAGCTTAAGGGGTAGGACAGATATATTACCTACATCCTGGTCCTACCAGAAGTAATCAGAAAAGATGATCAATGCTGTCTCAGTGCTGTATCCCAGTATGAAACACATCCAGATAATCTGGTTCATCAAGGTTCCTCTGTAGTTGCAAGCAAAATACCTTCTAAATAAACTTCCCCAAGAAGAAAGGTTGGAAACAAGACAAAATTGACTATTATTATTGGACCCCGTGAAGGATTTTTTTTGAAAAGGGGACTCTTTAAAGGTTGGAATTACCATATTCTACTTCAAGGAAGTATTTGCCATCACTTATATCCAATTGTAGGTTATCTCCTGGGAGACAATCAGGAGATAATCAACCAGGAGGGAAACAGATTTTGATTCCACAAGATGAATTAATTTAATACACATACAATATTGAGGACTATGTCTACTTCCTTCACACTAACAAGTTTCTACTCATCCCAAATAACTATACCAGACCATGTTCCAGTCATCACCAAGCGATCTACACAGCCAGAGTCTTCACTCTGAGTGAACTTCAGTGTTTTATCCAACAGATGTCTAGAGTAGTTTTCATATCTTGTAGATGCTCCTCAAGTTCTTCCTCCTCTAGTAATGAGTTACTATAAACAAGACACTGGACAACTATTGGAAGACAAGAGGAGAAGAATAATTACATTTTACTGTTCTTATTGCCATGATGCAGAAGATCCTTAAAGAAAGGATCTTACCTTTTCATGTTCAGTTGGATTGAGTTCTTATTTTTCTCTAGCAGTGCTCTAGGCATCTTCTTTGCTTTTCATCTTCCAGAGCTCCTCAGAGAACAAGATAAGATAAGATAACCTTTATTGTAATTTTTTTTTTTACTG